TTTCCGCTTGACCATTAAACCCGGGTTCGAATCTCACCATGGTCGATTTATTAAGAAAGTTACCTTGATGTTATCGGCCTGAGTTGAGGTGAGGCGATCTTAGTGAGTGACACCTGCTGGAAAATGACTGAAAAAACATTCCTCGGTTTGGGTAGATCAAACTGTTCGCCGATTGTTGTGCTAACCCAATATCACAAGTCATTGTGGCCGAGGGTTTTAGCGTACTGGCTTTGTTCAAATTGTTGATCACGACAGATGATGCGCTCTCTCCCAGAGTTGCAGTATAAGATATATGTGTGCTCCGTGGGTGTTGAACAAGCACAGATGTACCTGAGCAAGCGTCTACAAGAGGGATTGGCTAACCATGCCAGCAGATGAATACGTTCGTAGACGAGTAGATGGTCATTATGTATGTATAAGGGATAGTTAGACAGGGAGTATTCATCAAAAATGTTTTACTAAATTCTGTTTCTTTATTTTTTTTTATTCTATTTTTCCAGTTTTCGAATGAGATATTGCATACTGGGATCGAAATACTGGGATAGTCTCAATCAATATAAAGAACGATCTGTTTTTAATGTGGTAGGCAAGATGGAATCCTGGAAGCCAATGAATGGGACGATTAGGCGCTGGTCTTTTGGTACGGTCGTTTGAGCACCAAAGAATTTTCTTTGTTTTTGTTTTACTGATTCCTTTACCAACTTCCCCTTTTATTTATTTCTCGCTTTCTTTCTTTCGACTCATCTCTGCCTCGGTCTCTTTCTTTCATGCATCTTTTAACTGTCGCCTTTCTCTCCTTCTTCAATACAATTCTGCCCTGTCAGCGGGGCAGAGAATACGCGAAATACATCCCCTTGAAAAGGGGTAAGAATCTCTCCAAAAGAGGCTAAGTCAGTCATTTATGTGCTATGCGTATTACACGCGTAGGCGATCATGTATCTTTCGATACATGACTAACGAGGCAGATTTTTTCCCGCAGTAGTTTGCCATTTATTTCTCCGGTAGACCAATTACCATCCAAGGCTACAGAACCTAGTCTGTCCTGCTATTTAACCATAGCTGAAGAGATGAGGATGCATACCTTCCCCAAGGATATTAGCACGCAAGTAAATGTAATGCATTCGACGGGAATTCGAACTCGGCTCTCCGATTCCTGAATCCGAGCCGCTATCCATCACATCAGCATGCCTTCAAAAGAGGCTACCTATCAGTTAAATGCTTATTGACTCAAGTTGTCAAACTTTCTCTGTAAGTATTCACTTGGTAGCTGACCAATATTAACCCATAGGCTCAAGAATATACAACCAATATTTATCTATATTCTTACGCATAAACGAACAGCATCTACATTTATAAACGCCCGATAGTCTCAAGTATTAGGAACAAAAATTGATTTCATTATTTAATAACCCAAGAGTTGATATGTCCACCATTTCCTTTAAGTAATATTCCGGAGGTTTTGATGTGAAGTTTTCGAATTTAGTTTTCATGAGGAAATATATTCGCCATTTTATTTTGTGTTTTACAGCGATCAATAAAGGTAATAATCGGTTGGTACAAAGTCAGTTGGATTTGGTGACTGGGGCAAAACGAACCAACCAAATTCCAAGATCTTTTCCTGTGCTGTTTTTGCAGCATGCGGCCTTGCGGTTTTCATGGAAAAGAAAAATGCTTTTCCAATAATCTACTGTGTACGTTGCCATTACCGTACAAAATCTAAGGTATGTTAGTGTACTCCAAATTTATTTAGTGCTCCTTATTATTAGTAATTAAGATGATATATTCGTCACTTCTATTGGTTACCGAACACAGAAATTACTTATGACTCAATCTAACACGTTTTACTTTATTTTTCCTACTTTTCTTCTCTTTTTTTTTTTTTTTTTTTTTGTATTTGAAAAGAGCTCACTCTAGTCCAAGGAGGCATTCGTATAAAGAAGTGGTTCCCAAACAGTGGGGCGCGCCTCATAGTTGCAGTGGAAGAGGATAGCAGATAAGCCAGAATGATTAAAAGGCAATCAAAGATTTAGAAATAGTTTTAAAGAAATTCACATGCCAAAAACTAAATAAGATTTCAAAATTTAAAATATTATTATGGATGACTTGTAATTGCACACATGAGTCCCAATATAAATAGTTATAAATAATTATTGACCGATTTTATCATTGTGATATTATTGCATTATATCACGTATTAAGAATATAGTAACTAGGCTCTGCAAATTGGAGGAGAGTGTTATCAATGATAATATTCTGACTTTGAATCCACAGGTATCTCCTTTTAAATCTCTATGTTGTCGTTTTTTTTTTATTTTTGAATGAACATTTTATCACATAAAATTAGGTGACTTTACGTTATTTTGGGAGAACTAACAAAAAGATTCTACATTTAAAGCTTACATTTGAGAATCATATCCCAGATGTTTCCTTAAAAATAATCAATGATTTTAGTTTATACATGATAATTTCTGCTTAAAGGCAGACTGACTGACTGTCACAGTGTTATAAGCCGGATTGATTATTACAAAATAATGCTATACAAATAGTCCATACTCCAAATAGGATGTCCCCATAAACGCCAAGTGAGTTGGGGGGTCAAAGAATACGCTTCGATATTTACAACAGTTAAAAGAAAGCGCATTATTAGCGAATGGTCTATCATAAACCTTATGGTATAAGTATTTTAATCATGTAAACTCTTTCGCGGAGTATCGAGTCCCAGCTTCATTACTATGGGTGTTGTTGATGTAATTTCCATACCATGTAGTTTTTTTTTATAACCTCCATGTCCAGTCGTGTTTGAATCCAGTTCTCCTCCTCCTAGACTGATTTACAAGCAGAGGTAGAGAGATTGGTCTGTCTTGTTATTAATCCCTAGTTGGGAAGCGACATAAAGGAGGGATTCTTATTTTTCCTAAGGGCATCGGTAAGATAGAAAATACAACGGCCTTGGCTGGAATTTAAACTCAACATACCAACCCGCTCGCTGTTTTACGCTCACAACCCATAAAATGATTGTTCCCGTTTAATCTTGTTCCAGCTTGTATCAAACTAACTTTTCATAGATTTCGAGACAAGCATCCTAAACAACATTTATACATGTAGAGATATGCATAAATGTTGTTTGTTTTTTTTTTTTTTTTGGGTTTTTTTTTCTAAGTTAGGCATACATGGCAACAAAAATAAACACACCATCAATGAAAACATTGTTTCTTTTCCGCTATCCAGCCTGGATGGCCACGCATTTACTGAGTTTTTTCTTTTGATTATTTTCCAAATAAGACGATGCAACCAATAAATAAATACAAATAACAAGTAAAAACTGAAATAGATAAAATAAAAAGATTTCTTGTCACCGGAGATCCGTCTCACAGGCAGCACATCCCCTTTGAGTAAGATAAAGTAAGATAATAGGTAGCCCTTGGTATTTGTAGTAATTGCGTCGGAACTAATTTATTGATAACTGTTCCACCATAAAGTGTGGTCTTGAGACATGTGCTATAGGGGTAGAATTCATTCCCATCGGCTTACCGACATATCACGTTGAAACACCAATTTCGAATGATCATTGAAGTTAAGCAACGTCAAGCCAGATGGGTGACCGCTTATGAATACCAGGTGCTGCAAGCATGTATGTACGGATGGTGTTATGCATAACGGCTCAGCATTGGAAATCAAACAGCCGAGTTCTAATTCCAGTCGGGTTCATTATATCTACTTATACGTAAATAATTATGGGAAACGTATGAATTGAATTCTTCCCTCCCTCACCCGACTAGTTATGGGTTATCAGTAAATGATTATCTCCAAAAAGAATGTTAATACTGTCTTCTTGTTCTTCTTCTTCTTCTTCTTTTACGTGCCGTGTCCCTTCAGGACTTGGGCAATCATGTCTCTTTACAAGCCCCTGTCCTTTAGCTTAAAATTTTACCATTTAAAATTGAATTAATTTAACGCATGTATGGATGAACAGAATAGCAATAAGGATGTTATATGTATGGTTCAAATGGAACAATTGAGACATAAAAAAAATAATCTAAAAATATTTTCTGGCTTTAAATAATCTGCAGAAGGTTGATAAGCCGAAAAAAAAACAAATTAGTCACTCCATTCTAATCCTAAAAAGTTACTATACGTTACACGTCGCCATTTCCTTGTCTTATGCTGAACAAATTCCCATAGCTTGTGAGATGCCTATTAACGAGTAGTTGTGTTTTTAGACTACGTTCTATTTTATTTCTCGATCCAATAACCAATTCATCATTGGCTGTAATTTTCATTTATAAATGATTCAACAGTTACCGCGTGAGGTTTGCGAGCTGCGTTCAGTGCACTCGATTCACACCCCACATGATCGCCATTAAATTTAATAAGAACCGCAACACGTTTTCTACCCGCCATTGTCACGTGTCGACTTTCTGTCTGTGGTTATATGACACGCTGCAGTGTTGGATAATGGCGTCTGAAAAAAAGACGCCGTCATACTAATGCGATCGGTATAAAACTGCCCAGAATAGAAAAAGAAAAAGAAAGCAACATTAAGATATAGATAGGTAAGAAAGAAAGAGTTGATAAGTACTGGATTTTACAAAATTCGAAAATGGTGGGAAGGATGAAATATGAACGAGAAGAGTAAACAATGGCGGCTTGTAGTTGTGTAAAGAATAAGCTGAGAAAAAAAATAAATAAATAAATAACGACACAAATTTTGCGGGTTGGTTGGATGAGTCAGGGAGACTGAACCGAAAGTGAAGTTCACGGATGTTGTCATGGACACGTGTGCTCGAGCTAGGTGATGGGAGAAGATAGAAAATACGAGAGAAAGCGACGAAGGAAAAATAGTCAACTGTAAGAAGAGTAATATATACTCAGAGACTCTTAAGGGTTCTTGTAAGACGAACACATACTCAGGGGCTAGTCTTTCAGACTTGACTCACTGGCCATGAGGTCAATTTAAAGAACGTGTAGGGAACACAACGTTGTTATTTACCTAGAACAGCTTACGGCTATATCTCGTTGAAACACCAGTTCTCGTACGATCAACGAAGTTACGCAACGTCGTGCCTGGTCAGTACCTAGATGGGTGACCGCTTGGAAATACCAGATGCTGTAAGCTTAAAAGTGCTTGTGGTATAATTAATGTCGACTCAAAATTGTAAATCGGAGAGCCGAGTTCAAATTCCAGTAGAGTTCATTATATTCACTTACGCGTAAATACCCCTAGGAAAGGTATAAACTACCTCTTCTCACCCCCACCTGTGTGTTAATTAGTAGTGACTTGTATCAGCAAAATCAACACCTCAAAAAAATTTTTAGAATCTAAAAAAAAATCTGGCTTTAAATAACCTGCAAAAGGTTGATAAGCCGTAAAAAGTTGAACCATCAATCATTTATTTCCAGACTCGTTTAGACTAACCTTTAGTTTCCTAACAAAATTTAGTCAAAATTTTACCATTTAAAAATTGAATTAATTTAACGCATGTATGGATGAACAGAATAGCAATAAGGATGTTATATGTATGGTTCAAATGGAACAATTGAGACATAAAAAAATGAAATTTAGCTGATGCAATTTAAGGGTGGTTGAAAAAGAACATTTTTGGGGGGAAATGAATATTTCTTTCAGATGTCTGATCTCAAATAAATGTCTGTGTCCATTTACACAAGCTTATCAGGTATGTTACTCACTGGTTCTATATGTTCCTTTTGTCTACCCTCTGTCCTGTGAGTGTCAGATTCTCCAAACCGCCTTTTTTTTCATTATAGAAATGTCAACTGTCTCTTCCTGGTCCTAAGCAGCATTGTCCTTTTCGTTCTCATTTTCCTTAAAACTTCTCCGTAGTTTACATGTTCCGTCTATGGTATTCTCAATTTTGTTCTGTAAAATCACGTTTCTGTTGTCTCAAAACATTATTTCTTTGTCTTAATACTTTGCTTAGTTGCTGGAAGGCATCTTCTGCTATTCCAATACGACAATTAATAACGGTTTGCCATTGGCTGGTTAATATCACTTTTACTAAAACTTTAAGTTATATAATAAAATCTAAGACAGAGCAGTTCTACTGTTTTTTACGCACGGTGTGGATATTAGATATCAGCGTAGGTGGACAAATAGTTAACATCTTATAAAATGGAATCGTTGAGCTGAGTTCAAATTCTCGCTCAGATAGTCTGTGTTCACTTTCCACGAATATCTTTATATATAGCATGAATCCATTTCGTCTGAAATAATAATAATAATAATAATAATCCACCGTCCTTTAAAAAAACTGAAATGTCAATAACTCTTCTCCAAGTTACAGGAAGCTACAAGTGTTGTAAAATAATTTTATTCTCAAAATTTAATGACCAGTAAATTGTTAAACGAGTTTCTTGCTTTACATCTGAAGTAAATTCGATATTTACATTGAAGAAGAGAGGATAAAAGGGTTGGTTGAGTGATCCAAAATGACTTGACCCAAATAGCTGTGAGTTCAGCAAAGGGAACAAATAATTGAAGAGTTGAGTTACCAAGGGGAATTAACTGAAACTAAGATATCCAAAGGCATGGTGCGTGGAATTAGAACAATCTACCCCATGGACTAAATATAGGGTTCGATTTAAAATTCCACTTAATACCGCCTGAACAAGACCGGAGCGTACAACGGATGAAACGTTGTAAATATGGCAATAAATATGAGGACAGCAATCCGAACGACGTAAATAGCGTAAAAAAAGAAGAATGTACGGAAGTATTAAAACTACCTGACACAGCTGGCCGTAACATCTTACCCACGAACAACACGACGAACACAGGACAGTACAACGAGGTACTCGACAACCATTTCACGTTCTTGGAGAATTCGAGACTAAATCATTTGCCAAGTAGGATGGCGTCCGGATCCCAGTTCGACGTAAACCAATTAATGGCAGATGGTCAACAGCATCGAAGTCTGAGACTGGCTCCATAATAGTTCAGATTTAAACCCTATTAACTATGTGAGTCAATTATTAAACGGAGAGTTGCCAAGCGACTCTATAGTAGCATCGAAGTGTGGGAAGGAGACTCTGGCTAATATTCTTCTTCTTCTTCTTCTTCTTTTACGTGCCGTGTCCATTCAGGACTTGGGTAATCATGTCTCTCTACAAGCCCCTGTCCTTTTTAGCTCTTATTAAAATTTGTCTTTTCGTTATCTCTCATAATTTATATCCTGTCAGCCATTTACACATGCTTTTTAGGTTGTGCGCGGTTTTCCACTTCCTCTGAAGGACTGAAAATTGAGTTCAAGCATAAAACAGATTTTTCCCACTCTGTGTTGACTTCAATACCCACTTTTATATTTACACACGCTCTATCCCTGATATTGAATACTTTTACCTATAAATATTGCATACCTTAAAACTATATTTTTATTATATATATATATATTTAAAAAATATGATAATCTGGAAAGGCTTTTTGTAACGCGTTTTATCCGTTAGGATTTAATCGGACTGTGCTTTGTTGACGTTGCCATGTCTACACATGCGCACGAAACAAGAGACGCAGGTAGTTTCAAAATTTTTGAAAGAATATTTTTAAAAAAATTTTTTTCTTCAATGAACCAAAAAATATAAGCTGTATTCTTTTTCTCTCCATCATTTTTGTCCCTGACTATCCCACACTGTGAGAATATAAAATCTATCAAGAATGGTGATATATTGTAAGAGTCTGGACGCACATTTATTGTAGCGATCAAGACACGTTCCAGGCATTTTCGGCTCAGTGGATTATTTTCTCTTTTAATCAAAATAGCATTCCCTATGTCAAAATTGTAGTCCGTTTTGTTACGGTAAAAACCAATGCGTTTTGTATGTTGTTATTTAAAACGTCCATTTTGTGTTCATATAGTCTCATATATATATATATATATATATATATATATGAATAAATATATATATGAAGAAATCTTAAGATGTGGTATATTTATGGGATAAAGTGCTCAATAACAGAGATAGAGCGTGTGTAAATATAAAAGTGAACATAGAAGTCAACACTTAGAGGCATGAAACAGACTGTCGCCTCTAAGTGTTGACTTCTATGTTCACTTTTATATATATATATATATATATATATATATATATATAATAAATTGCTGATACTCCCTGACAAGTGAACGGATTGATAGCTGGAGAGCTCATCCAGGAATCCCTGGAGTTGGATGCTGAATGTAACACCAATCATTTAAGGGACAAAGTTTATATTTGTATTAATTCTCTCTCTCTCTCTCTCTCTCTCTCTCTCTCTCTCTCTCTCTCTCTCTGCATATATATATTTATATTTATATATATATATTATAAATTTTACGTTATTATCTCATTTCACCGCAAGCAAGGCGATATAGTCACTAAGACGCAAGATGTGTCAGAGAATGCAATTTAAAGAAGACATTATTAATCAAAGAGAATAATCAAAGAAAAAGAATTATGAAGACATAAGTTTATGTCTTCATAATTCTTTTCAAAAACAGTAAAACTACACACTTATTGTTCTTCTTTTATATACCGTTTCCCTTCAGGATGTGGGCAATCATAGCTCTCCATAACTTCCTGTCCTTTATAAGCCTTAATAAAATTTTGTCTTTTCACTATCTCTCCTAATCCCTATCTGCCAAACATTTACCCAACTCCGTAAGTAGATTACACGCTGCTTTCCTCTGCCTCTTTTGCTTTCAATATGTCCTGTCAGAGTCACATTTTCTAAGCCTTCTTTTCTTATTAGGATCCCAAGAAATTTCAGTTTCTCTTTCTGATGTTTACTTTTTGTTTATCTCCGTTCGAAATTGTGCAGTTCAATAGAAACTTGTCATTTTGTTAGTATCACTGATAACATTGTTTAAACAAATATGAACATTTTGCATGATGAATAGCTAGTCTCAGCCGAAAAAGGCAGTCAAAGCAAATGAAATTCGGCCAGAGGTTCTAAAAGTTCTTCCAGCTTAAAGATTCATATAAGTTCAAAGCGCTAATTAATCTTACAATGATTTCTTTTTTTTCTTTTTTAAAGCAATTCACCCGAAGCAAGGCGGGAGTGCCACTAGCATGCAAGGGGTTACAGAGGATTGAGAACAAGAGTAAAGATGAATGTATGGGGAAAGGATACAGAGAACAAGCTCAGGGTGTCAGATATCGATTGGCATTACACTTGAATATTTGAAGATTATAGTCACCGGGGAGGCAAGTAACGGGAAGGGAGTTCTACAAATGGGAAGTGCGGAAAAATAAGCTGTTTGAGAAGAAGAGACGGTTACATTTAACCGTTTTCACAGTGAAAGGGTGGGACCGAGATGTCAGCCTAGTAGCTCGCTTAAATTCACGCAGTCTGGGAACCAGCGAAAGTAGCTCGTCGGAACTGTTGCGATGAAAATACTTGTAGAAGAGACAGAGGGAGGCCACGGCACGTCTGTGGGATAGTGATTGTAGACTAGACGCCAGATCAGGACCTATCATCTTGTATATTCGTCTCTGGATTTTGTCGAGGACCTCGAGACGTACAGCTGGAGCACCAGATCATATATGACATGCAAGGACGGCTGGTTGATTTATAGATTTGAAGGAGGACAATGAGAGCCAACTTTCCTTGCGGCAGATGAAACTATTGATTCAATGTATTTATTCCACCCCATGTCAGTGGGCAGCGTGAATGCAAGCAGGCGTAACGTAGCGCTCTCGAGGAGTTAGGAATCAGCCATTCTGATGGGAGGCAGGGAAGGTTTTCTGTGGTGAGTAAAGGAGAGCAGTTTTGGAGGCATTAATTTTTAAAAGCCATTTCCTGCCCCAGACAACCACAGATTGGAGGTCCTTTTCGAGATTAGCAGACAGGTTAGGCTAGCCGAAATCTTTTTCGGCTAAACAGTCGAACTCTCTGCCTTCGGGCAAAGAGGAACCCGGACGAGGCTCTGTCAAGGAGCAGAGTCTCGTTCGGAGAGGTTAACTGACCCTTAACCCGCTTATACGGGTTCAAAAGGGAATATTTTTGTCCGAGCCTGTAGGCTCGTAGAACCCACGTTAAACTCGGCCTTGTGCCACATACAACCCTCGTCGTGGAGTAGATATTTTAGCAGACAGGTTAGTTTTGTAAACGACTGCTCGAAAA